TGAGAATCTATTTTACCATGATTCTTGAAAGATTTTTTTTTGCTATATTTATAGAATGTAAGTTTGGCAGTTATTTCCTTTTAACACTGTAAAGGTAATATTACATTGTATTCTGATTTTCATTATTGAAGTCAGTTCTTTTTGTTGCTAATTTGAAGGCACTGTGTTTCCTTTTCTGGCTGATTTTAAGATTTTCTCTTTGTTTTTGGTTTTTATCTGTCATAATGTGATGTGCCTAGGTGTGGATTTCTTTTTATTTATGTGCTTGAGGTTTGTAGGACTTTTTGAATCTGATATTTGATATTTTTCATCAGCTTGGGGAAGTTGTCAACCATTTTTTTTTGTTTTGCAAGTATTGCTTCTGCTCTGTTTTCTCTCTCCTTTCCTTCTGGGACTCCAACTACATGTCTGTTAGAATGACATTTCAATTTTATTCTCTGTATTTCTTTCCTTTTTTTGTATTTTCCATCCTGTTTCTCTTTCTACTTTATCTTGAATATATTCTTTTAACTTATCTTCCAATTTCTTCTTAAACTATGTCTAATCTGGGCTGTTATACCTGCTCATTAAACTCTTAATTTTGTTTATCATATTTTTCTGTTTAGTTTTCATTGGGTTCTTTTTATGATTTCTAATTCTCACACAAAATTCTCACCCTCGTTTTCTGTTGCCTAGTACACAATAATAATAATAAAAAATTTCTTTTAGAATCCTTGTCTGATAACTCGAATAGTGAGATCCTTGTGTGTCTATTGTCTGTTGTTTTTTGTGGCTTTAATTCATGTTGCCTTATCTTCCTGTGGACTTGGTTTTTTATTTTTATTGTCACATAGTTATTTGTAAAATTGTTTTTTAGAGCAATTTTAAGGCCTAGTCTAATGTCTTTCTTCTGAATTCCCTTATTCCTAAGTGATAGCCTTTAAAGGCTGTATCCAAAATGAAGGGCGTTCACCAGGGCTTCTCCACTCCTTGCTGGTCCAGTCTTTCTGTTTTTGAATTTGAGGACTGTCAGAAGACATTCAGCCACCCAGCCACCTCTCTGGAACTGGCAGATGCCTCCAGGGGAAAGGTGGTCCCAAATGTCCGTCTCATCTTTCTGCACCCGCATCCTCCCCTGTTCCCATCTTAGTAAATGTTTGTTCTCTTGTTAGTTTTCTAACGCCTTCAAGCAGCTTTTTAAAATACATACCCAGTTTTTCTTGTTGTCCTTAGCAGGAGGCTTGATTCAAAATACCTAATCCTCTATTACTGGAAATAGAAGACTGTCTTCAAATTTCTTGGTAGAAGAGGTAGATAATACATTTTCCACAGTGTTTAAGGTAATTGAGTTGGGGTTTTCTGTTTTTAGCTAAAAGCCTCCTTGTGTCGTTAGTATAAAAAATAATTCTTTCTTTGTGACCCTGAATATACAATGGTGGAACCACTTTTGAAGGTCAGAGAAAGAATTGTTATATGATGCCTAACTATGATACTAGATATCTGTTTGGAGGACTACCATAATTATATTTTACAAGATTATCATCGATAAATTGATTACTACTGAACTGGAGAACTGAATATGTTATATGTGCAAAATAATAACAGATATAAAATTCATTCTGACTTTGGTAAGACTCACACAAATAGGCAGATTGTCTTCTGTGATTCTTAAATATTCCTAGAGGAGAAAATCCTGAAAAAGGCTATTGGCAAATGCAACCCAGGGGCTCATAACTTTTGAGTCAAGAAGTTCTTTCCAATAGTTTCTCTAACTGTTGCATTTAAGCCTATTCATATCCAGTCATCACAGAAATAGAGAACAGTTAGTGATTATAGGCCATACTATAGTCTATTTTCATTAGTGTAGGATTCATAAACCAAGACAAAACCTGCATGAACAAAGGCGTGATATGCGTGTTTGTTTAGGGGATGGCTGGAGTAGATGGCTAGATTCTTGGCAGATGGTAGGAAATGAGACTGAACAAGGTAGATTGCACTGATTGTGTAGAGACTTGAAATGCTGGAGTGTTTTAACTTTGTCTCATGTATAGGAGCTTTTGAGTGAGAGTGAGAAGTCAAATAAAAATTTTTTAATATTAATCTGGCAGTGCTCTGTAGGGTAGACCAGAGAGAGAAAATATTGGAAGCAGGGATAACAAAAAGCTCTAATAATGATGTAGTTACAAGGTGATAAGAGCCTGAGTTTTTGTGGTTAAGTAGGGCTGGAGAAAATGGAATACAGTTTAAAGGAAGAGTATTTGGTGTTTATATATGGCAAGCTGAGAGAGAGAAAGCAGAGAAGGCTTTGGGGTTGTAAGTGTGGATGAATGATGGCGTAATACTGGTATCAGTACCAGAAGCCGGAAAGTCAGGAGGATGAAGGTAGATCGAAAGCAAAGATGATGAATTTGGTTTAAGATAATTTGAATGTAGTGTGATAGCAGGATTATTCATTTTCTGAAAAATTTTTGTAATTATTAAAAAGAAAATTTAACAATAAAATGTTGAAAGTGCAAGGTGCCCTGTGGGGAAGTCCCCCTGTTATGATTTTCCCAGAAGTTACCACTATTATTAGCTTGGTATATATTATTTTACTCTCTTTGTGAGTGTCAACATATGTGTGTGTATATCTGTCATTCATACTCTACTTCATTATGCTGTGGGGACAGATCTGACTTATCCTTTTTAATGCATAGTATAGATATACCTTTATTTATGGAAGTTTAGGTTATTTCTGATTTTTCATTTTTTAATTGAAAACAATGTTGCAAAGAAAATTCTTATATAATTATCTTTGGGTACTCATCCAGCTGTTTTCTTAGAATAAATTCCTAGAATTGGGCCAGGAGATAAGCAGGTTTATCATTTTGATACAAATAACTTTTCAAAAAGGCTAGTATTGATTTGTGTGTGCAAATTAACAATGTGATTATTTTGTGTGTGTGTGGGGGGGGAAGTATATCATGCATTTGGGTGTGGTACCTACTGGTGATGTGTGATGGTGTATTTTAGCTTTGTTAGTCACTAAAATTAATATATAAAAAGGTAATGAAACTGCAAACATCTTCTTGGAATGGGAGAAATCCTCCTGGTTTGGGAAAATACGAGAGAGCAATGTGCATATGTTTGCATAGGAACTAGAACTGGAGATGAAGTAATGGTGGTGGTGATTGAGAAAGGGATATCCTGAAATTAGTGAAGTCCTGAAAAGTACTTCTAGTAGATTTTAGTGCCAAAAGGGAAGGGGAGAGATCATTTTAACTTTGTTTTCTGAAAATGTTCAGGTCTTAGTGAATTTTGTTTCCATAGGGACTTAACTCCCATTTTAAAGTAGGAGTCAGAATATTACTTTATTGTCAATTTAATGAGAATAAAAAAGAAAAAATACTCATTTTAGCTTGGAAATCTTTCTTTCACTAGTACTAGGACCAAAGGGTAGTTCTTGATTTTTCTAATGTAGTTGAAGCTTTTTAGATCATTAAAATTAAAATACTTTAATGCCTTTTGATGGTTTTATTAGAAAGTATGAGATAGGTTGTATGTTTCTAACTTTAAAATTAAGTTGGGAGCCAGCCCTGATGGCCTAGTGGTTAAAGTTCTGCGCTCACTGCTTCGGCGGCCCAGGTTCGCTTCCTGGTTGTGGAACCATGCTACCTGTCTGTCAGTTGCCATGCTGTGGTGGTGGCTTGCATAGAAGAACTAGAACGACTTACAATTAGGCTATACAACCATGTACTGGGGGGGCTTTGGGGAGGGGGAAAAAAAAGAGGAAGATTGGCAACAGATGTTAGCTCAGGACAAATCTTTAAAAAAAACAATCAAGTTGGATCAAAGAGCAGAATCAAAATTACATGCCAGTTTTATGATCTAATTCATTAATTCCATGGCAAATGTATACTCTTGACAGGATAATGTGGCATCTGCTACAGACAGTGTACTCTGCATTTGCAAAGGTTGAATCCTGGTGGCCATCTAATGTAACAGTAAGGAGTAAAGTATGCCTGAAGGACTTTTCCCCCCTCTATTAAAATATAATTTGACAGGAAACCAAAGCAACCCCAATTTTAGTTAAAAGTCTTATGTAATATGCAGACATAACATTAATTTATCAAAAATGGTGTATTTCAAGCAAGACTGAGTAATTTAATGGTTTGCATTTCAAGCAAGACTGAGTAATTTAATGGTTGGTTTGCATAGGCTAAAAATCTTTTCTTGTAGTAAGTAAAGGTAATTCATGATATCCCATGACTAAGGGAGATGCTATTAGGAAAAAATATATATAATAGTCTTGAGAAAGATTAATGAAGTTAAAGGGGACAGAATTAACTTTGATTAAAATTCTTGTTTTTAATTTTTTACGATAAGAATTTTCATTCTTTATCTTTTACTTCTAGATACAACCAACATTTAGTTACTTCATAATCCTGGGTCGGTGCTTTTGGGGATAGCTGAGGTGATTTAGTTTTCTGTTCTTAGCACAGTGCATAACACATAGGAGGTGACCAATATTTATGTGTTAACTGATTTCTCATCTGAATCTGCAGCCTGAGTGCAGTTCACCTTGTGTCAAATAAAAGATCCTTCATAGCATTAATCACAGACATCGTTATTTGCTGCAGATCATCTTGGTGAAGACTATGATTCTCCCTAGCCACTTATCAAGTTACAGAGGCTTTTCCCCTGATTACAGAGTATGGGTTTTGTACCAGGATCCACCCTTGAAGTTTACCCCAGTCTTTAGGAAACATCTGTGGTTCGTGAATACAGGAGTACCTAGACTGGAAAAGTCAGTACTTCTAGTTAATACTTTAAGATGTGACCTTGATGGTCACAGAAACTTTGCATGGAAGTAAAAAAAATTTGATAAGGTATGATTCAACTTGATTCTTGAATTTTGTTTTATGAATCATTGAAAATCTGAAAATTGGGTTTTGTTATAGAAATAAGGAGAATAGTAAGTGATAAAAATTTAATATTGAAGGAATTCACTGATCACTAATTAAGTGTATTTCTCTGCGCAGGTATAATTTGGCCTCCTGAGAGTCTGTCTTAGCAAGAAGGAAGTAGAAAATACTCTGGAAAGAAAACTAAGACAATAAGAAAGCCAGAACTTATTTTTACATGGTTGTCCGTTCACTTACCAATATGGACACTTTTCCCACCACTTTACCTCCTGGTGGAGACAGCGGGCTGACAAGTTCTCAATCTGAGTTCCAAAAAATGTTAATTGATGAAAGGTTACGATGTGAACATCATAAAACGAATTATCAGACTCTGAAAGCTGAACACACAAGGTAAATTACTTAAAATTGCAGGTGAGAGGCTTGATTAAAAACAAAATTTTTTTTTGTCTGAATGTTTGCTCTGGCATATACAGTACAATTTTATTTTGCAGTATATACATTTAAAACTTTTTTAATACAGTAAAACTTTTGCCTTAAAATTACTTTATGCAAAACTAAGCATGTATCAAGTGGGTTATGAATTTATAAAAGTCTTGTTTTGAAAGTAGCAAGACCTATAAAATTAAATGTATCTAGGTGGCTAAATGTGTTTTTTCACCCTCATAGTAAAATTGCATTCACAAACTAGTATTAATAATTAAATGAAACTCTGTAAAGAAAGATATATGCAAGTTTAATGGAATGTATAATCTTAGTCTTATTCTGTAGTGTTGGTTGACTTGACATAAAGTAATGAGATTAGAAAGCAAAGGATACACTTAAAATTGAACTCTTTTTTTTTTAAAAATCAGGTTGCAAGATGAGTACATAAAGTCACAAAATGAACTCAAGCACCTGTTAAATGAAAAGCAGACTCACCAGGAAAAATTTCAGCTGCTGCTTGAAGAGCTAAGAGGGGAATTAGTAGAAAAAACCAAAGACTTAGAAGAAATGAAGCTGCAGGTAAGATAACATAATTTGAGTTAGTGTAAAAGTAGTCAGATGTTTAGTGGAAGTAAGTAGTTTTAGTAAATTTGGTAAATTCTCTCTATATTCTTAATGAGTATTTTGCTGTATCTGCAGGTGGTATAATTTAATCTTCTTTCATTTATTCTAGAATGTTAGCTACCATGTAGGGTTTAGCCATGAAACTGTTATTTTATGTAATTTGTATTATATTACCTGTTCTAATTTAAATAATATTTCACTATTTAGAATAATTTGGGGAAAGGCCAGTTTGAATTGATAAAAATTCAGAATTAAAGAATATTTTTTTAAAGGTTTATTAATTTTCCTTTATTGTAACTGAAACTGAGCTAAAAAAGACTAATAGTTATTTTTAAGGGGCTTCTTAAAAGATTCTGTAAAAACAAGTGCACATAATTTATGTGCACAATGTAAGATAAAGGGAGTTTCTAAAGCAAAAGATAGTTGGTACTGAAGTACTGACTACAGTGCCTTTATATATTCTTCACACTATTCATTTTTCATTTGCCTAGAGCAAAGCTAAACTTCAGCACCAGCAAAACTTACTATAAATTTCAAATTAGTAGGTATTAGTCGTGATATTTTCCTGTATTTAATATTGAATAGCACCAACTGTGTACTTCTGCTCATCTAGTGCTTGGTACAAATAATAAAGTATTATTAATACTAGAGTCATAAGTTGATAGGTAAAAAGACATCTTTCAAGTCATCTAGTATGGCATATTGCCCAAGTCATGGATTCCTTTGACAGCAGTGGTGGAAGTTCGTCATTCAGTATCTTCTTGAAATCTTCCATTGTTGGGAACACCACCACTAAGCTTGGGTTGGAGCCTCCACTGTGCTTACTTTTTCATTCCTAGGTATATTTAGGACGTCTAAACAAACAAAAACCTAAGAAATGTGAGTTGAAGAGGGAAATGTAATTTAAGCTTCTAGAATTGGTAGATTAATATTGAGAGGCCTATGTGAATGGAATCTGTGAGCACTGAACCTGAGGTATTCAAGGTATTCAATTACATTGCATGTAATTACTCTGTTTCTTGAGGGTAACATCTGGACATACTTGTTTGTACTAAGCACGTGCAAACAGTAAGCTTAAGAAGACTGGAGTGGCTATATTAATATCAGATAAAATAGATTTAAAGACAGAGTATCACTAAAGATAAAAAGGATGTTTTTATAACAAAAAAGAGTCAATTCACCAGGGAAGTGATGACCTTCAACAAACAGCTATGGTTCTATGCCTTAGTTTTCTCATGTGGTAAAGGGGATAAAAGTGTTGTTACCTATCAGGGGTTTTTGTGAGGACTAATGAGATAATATTTATATTTTTAGGATAGTGTCTGGCGCATAGTGCTCATAAATGATGGTCATTTTTATTCTGTGTGAATGTAGGCTCCATGAGGGCAGGAACTCTTTTTCAGTGTGTCTCTAGTGCTCAAGATAGTACCTAGCAAATATTTGTTGATTGAATGACATGAATGAATAGAAAAAATGAATGACTCAAAATTGTTGTTCTGTTCATATACATATAATGTTGCACTTCTTGTCTCATAGGTACCTAGAGCCTCAGTGTCTTAGAATTGATAATCATCTAGTTCTCTTTCACACCTGTTATAAATTGAATTGTTTCCCCCACAAAAATATGTTGAAGTTCTACCGCCTAATACGTCAGAATGTGGCCTTATTTGGAAATAAGGTCTTTGCAGATGTAATTAGTTAAGATGAGGGGTCTTACAGAAGTATGATGGGCCCTTAATCCAGTGTCACTAGTGTCCTTATAAGAAGAGAACAGACCCAGAGATAGAAACACATGGGTTGAGGGGGGAGGTGGGGATGGGGAGAATGTCCTATGATGACAGAAGCAGAGATTGAAATGCTGCAGCTGCCAAGGAACACCAGGAATTGCCAGCACACCACCAGAAGCTAGTACGAGGCAAGGAGGGATTCTTCCCTACAGTTTTCAGAGGAAGCATGGCCTAGCTGACACCTTCATTTTGGACTTCTAGCCTCCAGAACTGTGAGACAGTGACTTTCTGTTTTAAGACACCCAGTTTGTGGTGTTTTGTTATGGCAGCCCTAGGAAGCTAATACACTATTCAAAGCAAAGTTCTTGTTTGGAACATCTATGACACAGGGCTCTTCATTCTCTGCTTCAGTCCTTTCAGTGCTAGAGAACCTAGTGAACTTTTAAAGTGATCCAGTTCCATTTATGGATTGGAGTATGTTAAGTATTTTCTCTCTCATATTGAAATGAAATCATCTTTGTAGTCTCCTCGTTGGGTCTTGTACTGTTCCTTGAATCTACAGAAAATAACTTTGGGCATTTCTCCATGTGATAACTTCCCAAGTGTTTGCTAACAAATGTAATTTATCTGGTAAAGTTTCTATTTTTCAAGATAAATGTCACGTAGAAATCAGGTATGTTTATCTGGCAAAAGTAAGCTAAAAAACATCTGTACATATGCATATTGAAGCAATTTAGCTATTTGCTTTAGTGAATGTTTGCAATTTATACAAATTGTGAGTTGAATAAAGTTAAATTCAACAAAGTAAGATCAGCAAGAAATATTTCAGTGAAGATTTATGAAAGATGATTATTAAAATATACATGTATTGTCTACCTGCAAAATGCCTTTTCTGAGTTAAGATTTAATATCCCTTTGGCTTTTATATAAAATTAGATAAAAGACATTTATTTAAAGAATATTTCTGTGTCACTTGTGTAGTTGTAGTGAATGGGAATAGTGCCTGGCTCATAGGATGATTGTAAAGATGAAATGAGACAATGCGTAGAAAGTATTGTTATAGTGTTTTGATGTAGTAAGTTAGAACACGTTAGCTATTATTATTATATTGTTATTATGTTCCATGTTAGCAAAACCTTTTGTTTTAAATATGGGAGTCATTTGGGGGCCGGCCCCGTGGCTTAGCGGTTAAGTGCACGCGCTCCGCTACTGGCGGCCTGGGTTCGGATCCCAGGCGCACACCGACGCACTGCTTCTCCGGCCATGCTGAGGCCGCGTCCCACATACAGCAACTAGAAGGATGTGCAACTATGACATACAACTATCTACTGGGGCTTTGGGGGAAAAAAAAAAAAGGAGGAGGATTGGCAATAGATGTTAGCTCAGGGCTGATCTTCCTCACATAAATAAATAAATAAATAAATAAGGGAGTCATTTGATATTTTTCTGATAAAAAATTTTAAATAATTACTTTACCAAAAATTTATATGCTTTCTTTGTTCCAGGCAATGCAAACTATATAACCCAGTATTTTTCCCATTTTACTTGGCCGCTAGGAAGCTCAGAGTAAAATTTATTACTCAGTTTCAGTCATTAGTTTGTTAAGAATCTCTAGCACAACATTTGCCCTCTTAAATTAAAACATTTTTTGATAAATTTTGGTCTGTTTCATATTATTAATATGACAATTGTTGGAGTGTTACAGATTTGTTTTTATAGATTTGATATAGGTAATGACACATAGACTGTGGTATGATAAAGTGTTCTTGTAAGTTTCTTTTGAGACAAATAGTGGCAGTATTCCATTAGAAGTCTAACATACAGCATAATTTCCTCCTAAAATGGCGTGGGAAAAGTCCTCTATGTCTTTGGTGTATGTGTGCTTTGGGGTGGGAGGAGATAGATTTTTTTATGTGTGTGCTTGTTTTTAATAAGATTGTTAAGGGATAAAGAGTCTCTAAGATATTTTTCTTTATCAGAGACCTCATAGATCTCAAGACTCCCGTGTAGGTACCACCAGTTCATGTTCTTTTTTGCTTTGTGTAGATCTGTATTTCCTTCAGTATCATTTTCCTACAGTCTTAAGGACTTGCTTTAACATTTCTTATAGTGCAGATTTACTGTTGAGAAATTTTTTCAGCTTTTATATATCCAAAAAAATTGTTTTTAAAGATATTTTTGCTAAGTATTGAATTCTAGGGTGACAGTTTTTCCCCCAGTACCTTAACAATGTTGCTCTTCTGTCTTCTCGCTTATGTTGTTTCACATAAGAAATTTGCTGTCATTCTTATCTTTGTTCTGTGTATGCAATGTGTCTTTTTTTCTTGGCTCCTCTTAAAATTTTCTCTTTGTTGCTGATTTTGAGTAATTTGATTGACATGCCTTTGCACTTTCTGGGCGTGGGGTTTATTGAGCTTCTTGGGTCTTTGGGTTTATAGTTTTCATCAAATTTAGAACATTTTTGGACATTACATCTTAAAATATTTTTTTCTGCCTCCTCTTTCATCTCTTTTGGGGGGAGTCCAATATCAGGCCATTTCAAGTTCTCCCCTAGCTCACTGATGTTCTGTTTCTTTATTTTAATCTTTGTTTGTCTCTTTGTTTCATTTTGGATAGTTTCTGTTGTCATGTCTTCAAGTTCTCTGATGTTTTCTTCTGCAGTGTCTAATCTGCCATTAATCCCGTATAGTGTATGTTTCATTTCAGAAATTGTAGTTTTTATCTTGAAGTCCAATTTTGGTCTTTTTTTGTATCTTCCTTATCTCTATTTAACATGTTCAACCTTTTCTCTAGCTTTTTGAACATATGGAATTCAGTTGTAATAATTATTTTAATGTCTTTACTAATTCTAACATACGTATTACTTCTGGGTTGGTTGACTTTTTTTTCCTATTTATTCTGGGTAGTATTTTCCTGCTTCTTTGCATTCCTGGTAAATTTTTATTGGATGCTAGATGTAAATTTTACTTTGCTGAGTGCTAGATATTTTTGTATTCTGATAAATATTCTTGAGCTTTGTTTTAGGACACAGTTACTTGGAAACAATTTTGTCTTTCTGGTTGTTTTTAAGATTTGTTAAGTGGGAGCAGATTAGTGTTTAGAGTAGTGCTTATTATTTCCCACTGCTGAGATCCTTCTGAGTACTCTAGTTACATCTCTATGAAATGAAGTTTTTCAGTCTGGCTTTTGGAAAAAAGAACTATTCATAGCTCTGTGTGAGCTCTGAGTAATCATCCCTCTAATCTCTGATCTGTTTAGGTGGTTCTTTTCTTGGCCTTAGATGTTTTCCTTACATGCATGTGCTGGTCAGTACTCTGCTGAATGAGTTGAGAGGAACCTTGTGCAGATATTCATGATTTTCTTTCTGTGCTGCCCTCCTTTCTGCTACCCTGTCTTGTGACTCTAGCCACACTAGTCCCCTGGATTCTCAGTTCCACCTCCTCAAGTCAGGGAGTCCATCAGACTCTGTCTGGGTATCCTTTCCTATGCCATTGCCTGGAAGCTTTCACAAAGCTCACCTTCTGTTTTCTCTCAGCAATCTTTGTTGCTTCATTATGTCCAGTGTCTTCAAAACACTTGTTTGATTTTTGTCCATTCTTTGATTTGTTTCAGGCAGGAGAGTAAATCTGGTCTCTATTATGCCACCTGCTGGAAGTGGAAGCACTTTTATTTATTTTGTTTTTATTATTATTATTATTTTTTATTTTATTGAGGTCATGATGGTTTATAACATTGTGAAATTTGAGGTGTACATTATTATTTATCAGTATTCTGTATAGACTGCATCGCACTTACCACCAATAGTCTAATTTTTATCCATCACCTTATGTATGTGCCTCTTTACCCCTTTTGCCCACTCCCCAACCCCCTTCCCCTCTGGTAACCACTAATCTATTCTTTTTATCCATGTATTTGTCTTCCTGGAAGTAGAAGCACTTTTATTTTTAATTAACTTTTAATTATGAAAATCTCAAACAAGTACAAATGTAGAGTGGTGTGCTGCATCCCCATTTACCCATCACCCAACATCAGTAATTACCATTTCTGAGCCATTCTTGTTTTATCTTCTGACCTACCCCACCCCCCTTCTGTCCCTCAACCCCTCTGGATTATTTTGAAGCAAATTGTACTAACTCAACCCTAAATATTTTAGTATGTATCTCTATTATATGCCAAGGCAATCCCTCCTTTAAAAGCATAGCCACAATACCATTACCATACCTAAAAGTACTTCTTCCTTAATACCTCTTAATATCACATCTTTGTTCAGATTTCCTTAATTTTCCCTTTTTTGTTTTTTTTTTGCTTTATTGTTTATTTGTTTATTGTTTATTTGCTTGTTTATTTTTAAAGTTGGTTTGTTTGAAACAGGATCCAAGGAGGGTTTACCTATTACTCTCCTCCTTTTAATTATCACCCCTTCTCAGTTTGGACTCTTGATACTATCACCCAAACTCTTGACATCATAAACGAGATTATAATAAGGGCTTTCTATCTGGTTTCTCTAGCTCCATTCACTGCCTCTCCTTCCCACAGCCACCAATTCTCTCCCACCAAAGCTTTTGATCTGTCTTGCTTCTTCCTAAAATATAGATACCGTGATGCCATTCTTAAGCTTCAAAACCTTCAATGAATAAGCAAGGTGCATAAAAATGTGTATAGTATGCCTTCTTTATATAAAAATTAAAAGTGGTATATATGCATGTATATCTATAGATTGTTTTAAGAAGAATACATAAGAAATTACTAACAGTGGTTGTTTCCTAAGAGGGTAATTGGATGACTGAAGTGAGAAGAAGGCTTAGTTTTTTAATATTATGTATTATTTTGTTTGAGTTATTTTATTTATGTGATTATATTCATTTTAAGTAAAAATAATTTTTTTAAGTAAATACTATTGAATACTAAGTAAATTATAAGAGTATGAACCCTGGTATTCAGGAACCTTCTACTCTGTGGCTTCCATCTTTTTCCCTTTTGTTCCCAGCCAGGATGCAGCTTTCCTAGGTGGCATTTGGAAATGTGTCAGCGTGGCCTTGGTGTCACAGTATCTAGAGATTGCTACCAGCATTAATGCACAAGGACCCAGGATTCTAAATTTCCTGTAGTGCTTAGCGTGGTCCCATCCAAAATGCCTTTAGCTCACCTTTGAGGATCATTTTTCTCTCCAGGGAATTTAAAATTTTATCCATTCTTTGGTTTTGGGTTCTCCCTAAAGCTTTAGTTTTCCCATTCCTTTGGTTTGCCATTCTCTCTATCCTAAATATCTTTTCCGTTCGTCTTTACCTGTCTGGTAAGCCTATATTGCCTATTTTCATAGTTATTTGTATGTGTAAGTTATTGTTCATATGCGAGTTTAAACTTCTTATGGGGAGAGAGTTGCTTCCTGTGTTTTTGTGATCTTTAGAAGGTTAGACTGTGTGCTTCCATTTCTGTAAAAAGGGATGATAATGTAGCTACGTTGTGGATTGTTGTAGGGATTAAATAAATTAATGCAGGTAAGGTATTTAGAACAGTATGTTATGTAGATTATAGTATGTTGCACAATGCTTTACATATAGTAGGCATTTATTCAGTAAAACGTTTGGAATATTTGGAGTATTGATGAATAAATGAATGAATTAAACTGAACATTATTCTTAGTTTTCAGAGATTAATGTAAATACAAACTAGGTTTTTTTTACAACTAGTATTCATTCATTCATTCATTCAAGGAATAGTTATTGAGTGGTTCCTATATGCCAGACAGTAGTGTGAGGTGTTAGGACACATGGTGAATAAAGACTGTGTGTGCCCTTAAGGAGCTTATATAAATATTTGATTACTTATTGAAATATGAGTTGAGAGTATAATAGGGAAGAGCCTAAATTAGTTTTGGTGGTCAGAGTAAAAATCGGCTTTTTCTGATTGAAAATAAGTGAAGAATTCTCTGTGGTATATACCAAATTATTACACCTTTATTTTGCTTGCTTTAGAAAATAAACTATCAGCCATTGTATGCAGCATGATAACCTTAGCTGCTAATGTAGTTATTCCTAACAATTAACAATAATAATAATCAGAGACTGTCATGACCTCGTGTTTTCACATCTCTGAAAGCCTGAAATTGAGATTCTCCAAGTATTGTTTCAAATGATGGTTCTACTTATATAATGATTACTGTAAAATTAGGTATATTGTGATATTTCTGTCCATTGAATTTCATTGTCATAATTGGGAGAGGCTTTGAAATTTGGCAAATTCTTGATTTTAATGTTTGTGATTTCATATTTAGAATTGTTTGTATTTCTGTACATATTAGGTATTAACTCCACAAAAGTTGGAATTGTTACGAGCCCAAATACAACAAGAATTAGAAACTCCAATGAGAGAACGTTTTAGGAACCTGGATGAAGTAAGTAATTTATATAGAAGGAACTATGCATTTTTCTTCACGTGACTATGAAAGGCTTGATGAAAAGCATCATTCCCCTACTCAAAAACCCTGCAGTAGCTCCCTTTCTTACTCAGAGTCTTTATAGAGACCTTTAAGGCTGCACAGGATCAGATCCCATTACCTCTCTGACTTCCTTTCCTCCATTCACAGTGGCCTCCTTGATGTTTCTGGGGCACTCCAGAAATGGTGCAGTTCAGGAGTCTTTGCTCTAGCTGCTACTTCTGCCTTGAACCCTTTCCTTCCAGATATCTCTTGGCCAACTTCCTCATCTCTTTTAAGTGTTTGCTTAAATGTCACCTTCTCAATGAGGCCTACTTTGACCAACCCCGCATCCACCCAGTATTGCAGCCTACCTTTCCCATCTCTCCTTAGACCTTTGGATCCCCATTTACCCTGCTCTACTTTGAATTTTTTTCTAGTACTTATCATTTTCTAATATGGTATATAATATTTATTGTGCTTATTTTTTATTTTCTGTTTTACCATCTCTAGAATGTAAGATACCTGAGAGGAGGAACCTTTATCTGTTTTGTTCAGTTATAGTCCATGTTCCTAGAATAGCTCCTAGCATACAGTAGGTGCTCAGTTAATATTTGTTGAATGAAAGAATGAATTTCATGCTCAGAAAAGTAAAACTTTGTTACAGTTTTTTATCAGATTGAGATCAGTCTCCTTATATGAAATGTTGGTAATAATAAGACTAAATGTTTAATAAAGGGAACTGGAAAAGACAGCAGATATTAAGTATATTAGGTACTATGCTAGACATTTTTTATGTGTTACCTTGTTTAACAAATATACTGGGCCTTACACACTAAGTATTGTCCCCTTCAAAATGGACCCCTTTGGAAAGCTGTAGTCTAGTGATGCTGTCACTGCACAAAGCAGTTGTGGAATCTCTTTTATAAATGGCTTACTGGCTGGATCAAGTCATCTTTAAAATATCCTTCTGGTGGATAACCAAAGGATATCCAAAGAATTGTGCTTTTGGAGTAGATTTAGATTTAATTTTTGGATGTAAATAAAATCACTTAGACCTCAGGTAGGTGATCAAGTTAAGTAAAAACATTTTTTAAAAAAAATTGAAAGAAAGTATGTCTCTAATAAAATCATAAAACCCATTTTCTTGGTTTTTAAACTGGCCTAGAAGAGAAATCTTTCAACTGAAGATTTACAGTGAGCTGAGTATTTTAGGAGGCATGCTTTCCTTGTTACTTGATTTCCTGATGGGTGTTCAAAGATGTCTTCTTCATCTTTCTGCTTTATTGCCTAAGTTCTTATCGAGATTCAGAATGCCAATAACTTTTGTAGTGTTAGGAAGCAGATTTGGAGCATACTAGGGAGTTGCATGTGTTCCTGCTTAGTCAGGAGAGTTGGTGCTACATGTATTCTCCAGACTAGTGTGTTGAGTTGAACTATCATTGTAATATTTGATTGAACCTTAAGTTACTGTACTAAATATTCAAATAGTCTTTTATCTACTTTGAATTCATCTGTCTGACTTTTAGGTGGTTTTATATTTTACTCTGGAATTAATTTTTTTAATCTAACTATATTTTGAAAGGTGTGCTACTTTCTTAAATATTATTTTATTAAGCCCAGAGGTAAAAATTTTTGACATGCTATAAGTTTTTATCATTATGAGAATCAGTGAGGATATAAGGTTAGTTGAATGGTAATTTGCTTTATCAGGAATGTGCTAATTCTGTATGTAGGATACTTGTCAGGAGAGCTTTTCAAAGGCTTATTTATAGTTCTGTTAAGCTTATTTTTTACTTTTAGAATGGCTCTCAATATAATACAATTTAAAATTCTATTTGCAAAAGTGATTTTTGGAGTGGATACAAATTTCATTTATAAATTGGTGATAAATTGTAATCTCCCTTTAATTTAGGAAGTGGAAAAGTATAGAGCTGAATATAATAAGCTTCGCTATGAACATACATTTCTCAAATCAGAATTTGAACACCAGAAAGAAGAATTTGCACGTATTTTAGAAGAAGAAAAAATAAAATATGAATCAGAGGTGAGTGATTGATTATACTAAGTTAGTCATTAGACTTCTAGTCAATAAAATTTTATGATTTTTTTTAAAATCCCACCTTAGAGTGGATTGTATAATTATGTTTTATTAGTTAATGGGGAAGTATTTGTCGTAAATCTGCTCTATAGCAATGCTTTTCTTATGAATCTTCTTTTTTGGCTGTTAGATTTTCCTATTCTTTTCCTCCTTTATTTTGCCCCAGTCAATGGAGGTAGTCTCTTTTCTCCCATAGGCATCGAGACAGACTTCTCTTTGTAAATATATTTTGTATGAGTCCTTATTTAGCACTGTCTCCCTCTATTTCTTAGAGCCAGACCACCTTCAGGAGAGCCCTGGCTGTCAGCCTCTGTACCTCGTTTCCACTGATATAAACAAGGGGTGTGTATACCTTAGGGCGTGCCTGTCACCTTCAAGAAGTGTACTTGGTTCTTTCTCACGTCTGCAATTGCAACATTCTCTCTACAGCATGCATCCCTACTCTGTCTCTATTGCTTTTGGCAGCCTTTCTACTCATTTTGTGGTTTGTCTCCTAATTTTGCCAAAAATGGGATGTATATTTCTCGTTTTTTATGTTACTTTTAGATGATTTTTCAAGATGGAAAGAGAGAAATACCATTTTTATCCTGCTGTATTCAGCTAACAAATCTAATGCTAGTTGAATTTGTAAAAAAACAAAACAAAACAAAACAGATTGTCTGTAGTTATGTGAAACATTCTAGGGAGAGACACATCTGCATTATGTATTTATTGCGTTGTCTTTATTCGGAATTAAGATTTAAAGTATACTCACCTTCCTTTGCCAATTACTAATTGGATCAAACTGATTTATTCTTATTAGTGAGCAAACTGTTCCTTGATTGTTCGATATATAAGAAAACTGTATGAACTTTGGATCATTTCAGTCCATTAATAATACAGTACCAGAAAACTATAAATATTTATACGTCTGTTTCATTAAGAAAATTCTTTACAGCTTTAAATGCTTCATTTGTGTATGATCTCTCTTCTATTAGAATAGTCAGTGAGATGAGGCAGGACTGTCTTATTTTCTCCATTTTAAATGAGGACACTGAAGCACAAAATAAGTGACTTGCCCAAAGTCTCATAGGAAGTCAGCAGCCAAGTTAACAGTGGAACTCAGCTACCCCAACTCCCAGTTTTAAGTTTGAAATTATCAATGATTTGAAGTTGCCACGCTAATTAGGGCCCATCCAACAACTGTAATTTCATCAAGAGATCAAATAATGTATACTGTGTGATTATGAAAGGCTTTGAGTCTGTAATTATGACAGACTTAAAGGAACTACATATGAAAATTTTCTTGTGGAAAATAGGAGTGATAAAGATTTCTAGCCTAAAATGTAGATTTAGTATATTGAAGAGTAACTGTTGAGGTTAAGGATAGTGGTGCTTTATTTTGTACTTCACTTTTAAATCTAATGTTGATGTTTATCTGGTAGTGATTATTTGTATTCTCTAGTTTCTTAGTTTTATTGTTTTTTTAAAGAATGAAAGCTGCATCTGAAATCTGATGACTAATCTGTTCTGTTTTTCACCCATGAAAGAACAAATGATATTCATTAAAATTTTTTAGAAGTCAGTGGCGTCACCAATTTTCATAATTGGAATGTCTTATGACAGTCTTAGAAAGCTGAAGATAAACAGCTAGCTAAGAAGCCATAATTAGTAGAGGTTAGAAAAGTAAAACTTTCTGATAAGACTGAAGGTCTTTTCTTTTTACTTCTCAATTGTTTATACAGGAACAATATTAATTAGTGGGTATTTTGGGTATTTGCTTTTGTTCCATTGCTAATTTTTTATACTTGGGTTTTTTTTTTTTTGGTGAGGAAGATTAGCCCTGAGCTAACATCCAATGCCAATCCTCCACTTTTTGCCAAGGAAGATTGGCCCTGGGCTAACATCGGTGCCCATCTTCCTCTACCTTGCGTGTGGGATACCTGCTACAGCATGGCTTGACAAGCAGTGCGTAGGTCCATGCCCTGGATCTGAACCTGCAAACCCCAGGTCGCTGAAGCAGAGCATGCGAACTCAAACACCACGCCACCGGGGTGGCCACTATACTCCAGTTTTTATATACAATAACAGTAAAACCTAGTGAGGTGATTGTGGATCATGAAACAGCAATAAAACTTCAAAGTAAAGCCTACTCTTGCCATCTTTTAATTTTACAATTTAAACTGGTGTAAAATATATTCATTTATACTAAAATGCTAGTTTCGTACAGATGAAATCCTGAAGTACTAATATATTAGTTTTGTACAAATGAAATCCTGAAGTTGCATATATAGTTGTTATTCAAAAGTGGTGCTATTGTGTTTTCATTGTGTTATTAGGACTCTAATTTTATATTATTCTGCAAATAGTAATAAAGAGCAATACAGAGTTTTAGGTACAGGTGATTATACTGGTAGACTGAATGAGTGAAAGAAGCAAGAGTAATTCGGTGGGGAAGTATTAAGATCTTGAGACATGGACAGTGAGCACTGCATCATATGAAAAACGGTCAAGAGTGACATTAGTATTAAGTCCCTAAGATTATTCCATCATGGTCTGCAAACTGAGCTCTACCTTTGCTTTTATTGGGCTGGTGAGAAGCCAAAGTGTCTGTGGCAAAAAGGAGAACTTTTCCGGGTCCCTGTTACACGTGTTAGTTTTTTGTTAGAGCACTGGTAGCTGATAGTGCATTTCTAGTTTTGGTCCTTATCCTGACGCATGTGTCAGTAGACATCATGAAACCTCAAAAAACACATCGTTTTTTCCTGGTAGGTTCTGACGTTCTTTCCAGAGTGCTGCTTTAGGCCCAGTGGGTTCCTTTATCTAAAATATTGCAGGTTCTCTGACTTGAACCCCTCTTAGATTACTCTGAACCACATTACAATAGGCAGAAGTCTCCCAAATTAAATTACCTCACAGTGGGAATTCCCTGGGATTATTTTGGCGACCTTTTAGAAGGGCTTTGTGAAATTTTACTCATTATGATTTTCTGTGTAAATGCAGTTTAGAATATCTCAAAAACTAAACTTTTTACATGTAAAATTTAAAATGTTTTAGATGTTCATTTAATGTGACATCGGGAACTGACTTAACTACTGTGTGCATCAGTGTCCTAATCTGTAAAATGGTGTTAACAGTAGTACCTATCTCGTGGAGTTGTTGTAAGGATTTAGTAAATTAATGTGTGAGTGCTTAGCCAAGTACCTACCATGTAGGAAGCATTCAGTAAATGCTAGCTATTCTTATCATTATTTAAAATTCCACGTCCTCAAATTTCTTGAGTATGTATGTGATCCTCTTCTTTACTTTAGCATGCTAGAGTTTTCAGTGTCAGGTCTGTACTTGGATACTCTAGATAGTTTGAGGGCATTTCTCATTACAGTGCCTGTATCCCCCCACCTTCATCTCCCTCCCAGCATTCTGACTGCTCCAATTTCAGGTGCTCCCTGCCGTGGCTTTTTTTAATTAGTCACAATTTTCTTTTACTATCTTCATGACCAAGGTAACTCTCGGGGCCTAAAAAAGGCATATGTTTTATTATTTCTGTTCTCTTGTTCAGTCTTAGTAGAATTCTTTTTAAGACACTAAGTGAACATCACTTCATTTCCCAACAGTTCTTGTATCCCATATCCTAATCTGTCCATAACTATGTCTGGGGGCAAGAACATAGTTCTAAGAACTGCTTTCTTCCATGATTATCTTTCTCTTAAAAAAAAATAGGGGAGGGGCCAGCCCAGGGGTTTAGTGGTTAAGTTCACGCTCTCCGCTTCGGCCACCCCGGGTTCGGATCCCAGGCGTGCACCGACGCACTGCTTATCAAGCCATGCTGTGGCGGCATCCCATATAGAGTGGAGGAGGGTGGGCACAGATGTTAGCCCAAGGCCAATCTTCCTCAGCAAAAAGAGGAGGATTGGCAACAAATGTTGGCTCAGGGCTAGTCTTCCTCACAAAAAAGAAAAAGGGATATAAAGAAAGGAGATGGTAGCTTCCAAAATTACATTAACATATGAACTTTAAATCTGTAAATAATTTAAGTGCTACCTTCTTAGTGTAAGTAAATGACAAAATATTTTTGTATTCCATCATTAATATAGGAAAAAAATCAATTCTAGTACATATAGGAGAAAGTGGAAAAAGGTAAACTAACTTGATTTTAAAAACTAAGATCTAGGAACTTGAAACTTCATGTGCAGAATGTTTATTACCATAATGCCTGACATATAATAAATGCTGAAATTAATGGTATTATTACTGTTAGTACCTGACAGCATTAATTATAGTGCTAATTATCATATAAATATAGCAGATATTTTAAAATAGATTTCAGATTTGTAAATGAGAATCTGCGGAAGTTGAAGAAGTTAAAGAAAGACATAGAGGCAAGACACAAATTCATATTTAATTTATTGAGAGAGGCACTTTATACATACTTCTTTGAATTTGTCAACAACCCTAGGAATTAGATAATAAGTATCCCCATTTTATAACTAAGAAAACACTCATTTATGAGGAAACACTCATGAAGCACTGAGAGATTGGTCCAGGTTCATACATCTAGTATGTAGTAGAACCAGGATTCAAATCTAGGTAGTCTGGGGTTTCTGCTTCTGGCCATGATACAGAATAGGAACTGAATTTACCCTAAGGCCCTGACTAAAAACTGGGGCAAAATACAGGAAACAATGGTTTTCAGACACTGGAAAACAGGCAGTACAAAGTGGTGATCCCTGAAGGAAGGAAAATAAATGAAGTGAGCCCCATCTTATGTCCACCAGTGTGGAAGGGCTCCCCAATGCATGCTGCATTGAGTAGAAGACTCAGAAGGATTTTACCTTAGTAGTAGGGCCAAATTAGCTCTAGACTAAAGGCTACTCTGGTCCTGCGTGACAAGTGTAAAAGCAAGATTTGAAAGGATCTAACTATTTCTGAGTAACTTAACTGCATAACAGAACAAAGATTTAAAGGTA